GAGAGGAAGAAGAGGAGGAGGGGAGGAGAGAAGAGGGGAGGAGAGGGGGACAAGAAGAGAGGGAAGGGGGAGAGGAGGAAAGGAAGAGAGGGGAGAGGAGGGAAGGAGAGAAAAAAGGAGGGGAGAGGGGAGGGAGAGGAAGAGAGGGGAGGGATGGAGAGGAAAAGAGAGGTTGGGGAGGAAGAGAGGGGGAAGGGAAGAGGGGGGGGGAGAGGAAGAAAGGGGGAGAGGAGGAGAGAGGGGAGGTGAGGGGAGGAGAGAGCCTGGGAGGGGACCCAGATGAGAACGGGCTCACCTCCAGGCAGGGACACTGGAAAGGAGGAGAGCTCAGCACCTCACCAGCCCCCAGAGTGCGGACCACCTGTGCAGAAAGAAAGGAGCGGCCCAGCTAGATGGCCTGGTAGCAGCCACCAACCCATCCACTCACAGACGGAGGACTCAGCAAGTAGACCTGCACCCCCTGGGCCAGTAAAGGGAAGGAGCATTTCAGTGGGAAGCTGGAGTAGCTTACTACCCGGGACTGTCTATATTTAATGCCGGCACTGGTTCCCCTGTCCAGGGTTCCCTTAGGCAGCCAGCTTAGGAGGGTCTGGGGTCTTGGGTGGTACCACAGGAGATGCTGGTCAGCTCTCTAGAAGAGAATTTTGCTGTAAAGACTTGTATAGTTCCAGGAAGTTTGTCCTCCGTTGCCATTACCCTTGATCATCCCATACACCCCTTACCCCATCCAAGTTCAATTCCCCTAATAAATCCCCAAAAAACAAGCTCTTGAATTGGTTACTATCTCCTGGATGCAAGTCTGTGTGGAGAATGCGTGTTGCCTGGCTGTGTAGGACTATAGGGGGGCCCAACTTCAGGACTCCTAAGGGGGTAGTATTGCTACACATGTTTAGCCATAGAAACTTTGTTTTTCTGCCATTTTCCCTCCAGATATGTGGTTCTGAAGTCTCCTTACTCCCACCTAAATTCCCCCAATTGGCATGCTGGGGTCATCCAAGCCCGTCGGTTGATGGTGGAAGAACAGGTGCAAGGTGGGCAGATTGTACCCCGGGTGACGGTCTTCTTAACATAAATCTCGAACCCAATCCTTGGTTTTCGGTAGACTAGAGGACATTTAGAACTCCTGTCACCTGTTTAGGTTCTACTGTCCTGGTCCCAGTGGGTGACTACCTTTCTTTTCCTACCCCAGAGGAGGTCAGGAAATCTCCGCACACCGAGGTGTCCCCATGCCGAGATCTACTCTCACCTCCTCTTCTGGTGACAACTGTAAGGCTTTGGATTTCCTGTCACTTTCTATCACCAGAACAAATAGGACGAATTTTCCCCAGCAGGGACCGGATGGCACAAAAACAAAAAAAACTCGGTGTGCTAATGAAAAAAAAAAAAAAAAAAAAAAACACTTAAAGCAGAATGTAAGAAAAGTCCAGATCCGCTTTTATTCAGACTCCTAAAACAATTGCCGCGAGTGCCACCCTTTACCAGGACTACAAAGTTCATATGCCGTATGTTGCCTACTTCAAGCCACCCGTTCCGTATAGCATGCTGTACAGTCCCTATTCCATGATGCCTTATTCCATATGCATTGTGGCCGCAGGGGAAATTGTTGTTGCTGCTGGGGGGGTTTCCTGTTGCTGCAGGGGAAATCTTTGTTGCTACTGGGGGGATTTACAGTGGGGCAAAAAAGTATTTAGTCAGCCCCCAATTGTACAAGTTCTCCCACTTACAAAGATGAGAGAGGCCTGTAATTGGCATCATAGGGAGACCTCAACTATGAGAGACAAAATGAGAAAACAAATCCAGACAATCACATTGGCTGATCTGGAAAGAATTTATTTGCAAATTATGGTGGAAAATAAGTATTTGGTGAATATGAAAAGTTCATGTCAATACTTTGTTATATATCCTTTGTTGGCAATGACAGAGGTCAGACGTTTCCTGTCTTCACAAGGTTGGCACACACTGTTGCTGGTATGTTGGCCCATCCTCCATGCAGATCTCCTCCTCCATGCAGATCTCCTCTAGAGCAGTGATGTTTTGGGGCTGTCGCTGGGCAACACGGACTTTCAACTCCCTCCAAAGGTTTTCTATGGGGTTGAGATCTGGAGACTGGCTAGGCCACTCCAGGACCTTGAAATGCTTCTTACGAAGCCACTCCTTCGTTGCCCGGGCGGTATGTTTGGGATCATTGTCATGTTGGAAGACCCAGCCACGTTTAATCTTCAATGCCCTTGCTGATGGAAGGAGGTTTGCACTCAAAATCTCACGATACATGGCCCCATTCATTCTGTCCTGTACATGGATCAGTCGTCATGGTCCCTTTGCGGAGAAACAGCCCCAAAGCATGATGTTGCCACCCCCATGCTTCACAGTAGGTATGGTGTTCTTTGGATGCAACTCAGCATTCTCTCTCCTCCAAACATGACGAGTTTTGTTTCTACCAAACAGTTCTATTTTGGTTTCATCTGACCATATGACATTCTCCCAATCCTCTTCTGGATCATCCAAATGCTCTCTAGCAAACTTCAGACGGGCCCCGGACATGTACTGGCTTAAGCAGGGGGACACGTCTGGCACTGCAGGATCTGAATCCCTGGCGGCGTAGTGTGTTACTGATGGTAGCCTTTGTTACGTTGGTCCCAGCTCTCTGCAGGTCATTCACTAGGTCCCCCCGTGTGGTCCTGGGATTTTTGCTCACCGTTCTTGTGATCATTTTGACCCCACGGGGTGAGATCCTGCGTGGAGCCCCAGATGGAGGGAGATTACCAGTGGTCTTGTATGTCTTCCATTTTCTAATTATTGCTCCCACAGTTGATTTGTTCACACCAAGCTGCTTGCCTATTGCAGATTCAGTCTTCCCAGCCTGGTGCAGGTCTACAATTTTGTTTCTGGTGTCCTTCGACAGCTCTTCGGTCTTCACCATAGTGGAGTTTGGAGTGTGACTGTTTGAGGTTGTGGACAGGTGTCTTTTATACTGATAACAAGTTCAAACCGGTGCCATTGATACAGGTAATGAGTGCAGGACAGAGGAGCCTCTTAAAGAAGAAGGTCCAGGTCTGTGAGAGCCAGAAATCTTGCTTGTTTGTAGGTGACCAAATACTTATTTTCCACCATAATTTGCAAATAAATTCTTTCCAGATCAGCCAATGAGATTGTCTGGATTTGTTTTCTCATTTTGTCTCTCATAGTTGAGGTCTCCCTATGATGCCAATTACAGGCCTCTCTCATCTTTGTAAGTGGGAGAACTTGCACAATTGGTGGCTGACTAAATACTTTTTTGCTGCCCTGTATGTGTGTTGCTGGGGGATATATTGTTGCTGCAGGGGAAATCTTTGTTGCTGCTAGGGGATTTATGTGTACTGCTGGGGGGTTTAAGTTGTGCTGTTGGGGGATTTATTTATGCTGTGGAAGGATTTATTGATGCTTTTGGGGAGATGTATTTATGCTGCTGGGGAATTATTGTTGCTGCTGGGGCATGTATTGGTGCTGCTGGTGGATTTATTTTGCTGCTGGTGAATTACATGGTGGATTTATTGGTGCTGCCGGGGGATTTATTGGTGCTGCTGGGGGATTTATTGGTGCTGCTGGGGGATTTATTGATGCTGCTGGGGCATTTATTGGTGCTGCCGGGGGATTTATTGGTGCTGCTGGGGGATTTATTGGTGCTGCTGGATAATTTGTTGCTGCTAAGTGACTTATCCTTTAAAAAGGGGTGGAGATGAGAAGTGGTAGGGGCAAAGGCAAGAGGAGGTGCTTAAAAGTGGGTAGGGAACAGGGGCGGATTGACAACTCATGGGCCCCCGGGCAATAGGGGATCATGGGGCCCCTGTGTCCTTGCCCAAACTCAAAAAAGCCTATGAAAAAGGTACCAGGGGCATTCCATGGGGCCCCCTACTGAGCCCGGGCCCTTGGGCGGTGCCAGAGTTTCCAAATGGTCAGTCCGCCCCTGGTAGGGAATGGAGACCAGCACCAAAAGCAGAATGCATACAATTTCAGATTCAGTTTTATTCAAACTCATTAAAAAAGGCATTTTAGGAATTCAAAGCCCCCCCCCCCACACACACACACAGACTTTATCAGGACTACAAATTGCACATGCCACATTGTATGTTACCTATTCCATGTTGCCTCATTCTATGTGTCACCTGTACATCCCCATTCCACAACACCTCATCCCACATATCTTATAGTTGCTGGGGGATTTATTGTTGTTGCTGGAGAAATAATTGTTGCTGCTGGGGGATCTATTGGTGCCACTGGATAATTTATTGTTGCTGCTGAGGGAATTATTTTTTTTAAATGGGCTGGTGCAGAGACAAGAAAAGGTGCTTTGAGGTGGGTATGGAATGGGTTGACCCGGGGGTGGTGGAGTACCTGAACCTATCCTTTGGGAAGAAAAGCCCTGAATATCAGTATACAGTATTGACTTGTATGTAAGTGGTATAAGATATTGACCGTAAATACACGATTTTGCCAAAAGTATTGGTCGGCCGGCCTTTCCACACACATGACCTTTAATGGCCACCCAGTCTTAGTCCGTAGGGTTCAATATTGAGTTGGCCCCGCCCTTTGTAGCTATAACAGCTTCAACTCTTCTGGGAAGGCCGTCCACAAGGTTTAGGAGGGTGTCTATGGGAAGGTTGGACCATTCTTCCAGAAGCACATTTGTCAGGTCAGGCACTGATGTCGGGGGAGGAGGCCTGGCTCACAGTCTCCGCTCTAATTCATCCTAAAGGTGTTCTATGGGGTTGAGGTCAGGACTCTGTGCAGGACAGTCAAGTTCCTCCACCCCAAACTGGCTCCTCCATGTCTTTATGGACCTTGCTTTGTGCACTGGTGGGCAGTCATGTTGGAACAGGAAGGTTCCATCCCCAAACTCCTCCCACAAAGTTGGGAGCATGAAATTGTCCAAAATGTCCCCTTAAGAGTTCCCTTCACTGGAACTAGTGGGCCAAGCACAACCCCTGAAAAACAACCCCACACCATAATCCCCCCTCCACCAAACTCTACACTTGGCACAATGCAGTCAGGCAAGTACCGTTTTCCTGGCCACCGCCAAACCCAGACACGTCCGTCCATCCGATTGCCAGACAGAGAAGCGTGATTGGTCCCTCCAGAGAACACGTCTCCACTGCTCTAGAGTCCAGTGGCAGCGTGCTTTACACCACGGCATCCGACGCTTTGCATTGCACTTGGTGATGGAAGGCTTGGATGCAGCTGCTCGGCCATGGAAACCCATTCCATGAAGCTCTCTACGCACTGTTGTTGGGCTCATCTGAAGGCCACACCAAGTTTGGAGGTCTTTAGCTATTGACTCTGCAGACAGTTGGCGACTTCTGCGCACTGTGCGCTTCAGCATGCGCTGACCCCGCCCTGTCATGTGACGTGGCCTACCACTTGGTGGCTGAGTGGCTGTTGTTCCCAGTTGCTTCCACTTTGTTATAATCCCACTAACAGTTGAGCGTGGAATATTTAGTAGCCAGGAAATGTCACGGATGGACTTATTGCCCAGGTGGCCACCTATCACGGGACCACGCTTGGAGCCACTGAGCTCCTGAGAGCGACCCATTCTTTCACCAATGTTTGTAGAAGCCGTCTGCATTCCTAGGGGCTGATTGTATACACCTGTGTCCATGGAGGGGATTGGAACACCTAAGTCACATGATATGGAGGGGATTGGAACACCTGAGTCACATGATATGGAGGGGATTGGAACACCTGAGTCACATGATATGGAGGGGATTGGAACACCTGAATCACATGATATGGAGGGGATTGGAACACCTGAATCACATGATTGGGAGGGGATTGGAACACCTGAATCACATGATATGGAGGGGATTGGAACACCTGAATCACATGATTGGGAGGGGATTGGAACACCTGAATCACATGATATGGAGGGGATTGGAACACCTGAATCACATGATTGGGAGGGGATTGGAACACCTGAATCACATGATTGGGAGGGGATTGGAACACCTGAATCCAATGATTTGCAGGGCGGACCCCAAACTTTTGTCAATATGGTGTATGCTGGTTTAAAATTCCAAAAATAGGAGGTCAGGTACAAATAGGAAACACGGGAAGAAAGTATTTAAAAAAAAAAAATCTTTTTTGTATTCTGCTTCTTGTAACATTTTCTTTATTAGAAGGATACAAAAGGACTGATGAGTTTCCATTAGAAGTCTGGGGTTAATCAAAGAGCAGAAGTGTCCAATACAAAGATTTCGGAAGCAACGCGCGATGACCTGACCTTGTGCGATCTCTTCGACATTTTTTGCTGTTATTTTGTTGTTCTTTCGAAGTTCTAAACTTCCCCTCCTGCTTGTCGTTCGCCATAACGTAGTTAAAAGTAGCAGCCGTCTTAACTTCCAAAGCCCATCAAGGGATTGTGTTCTCATTAATCCCATTTTTATAATTTAAAATTAATTTCGCACATTTATCATGCGGGTACTGAGGAGACTCCAATAAGCGTCCCTCTCCTGCACATAATGAACAATTTGGCTGTTGCGAGGACATTTGGAGCGGCCCAGATCAGGTGATTAACATACTGCTGCGTTACATTATTCTTTCCATGCCTCTATTCTCTGATTAACAATTAGACAATATAAAATGAGTTTTACGCGGCGAGGATCCTCGGCCCTCGTGTTCCAGCGCAACTTCCTGGAAACCCCCGGGAGAAACCGAACAATCTCCTCCTCGTTTTCTGCTCCGCTCGTTATTCCTGTCTGCGAGCGCTTCAGCACTTCTGAAGTTTCATGGTCGATTTCCTTTCCTTGTGTTGGGCTCATCTGAAGGCCACACCAAGTTTGAAGGTCTTTAGCTATTGACACCTCGGCATCCGACGCTTTGCATTGCACTTGGTGATGGAAGGCTTGGATGCAGCTGCTCGGCCATGGAAACCCATTCCATGAAGCTCTCTACGCACTGTTGTTGGGCTCATCTGAAGGCCACACCAAGTTTGGAGGTCTTTAGCTATTGACTCTGCAGACAGTTGGTGACTTCTGCGCACTGTGCGCTTCAGCATGTGCTGACCCCCGCCCTGTCATGTGACGTGGCCTACCACTTGGTGGCTGAGTGGCTGTTGTTCCCAGTTGCTTCCACTTTGTTATAATCCCACTAACAGTTGAGCGTGGAATATTTAGTAGCCAGGAAATGTCACGGATGGACTTATTGCCCAGGCGGCCACCTATCACGGGACTACGCTTGGAGTCACTGAGCTCCTGAGAGCGACCCATTCTTTCACCAATGTTTGTAGAAGCAGTCTGCATGCCTAGGGGCTTGATTGTATATGTTGGCTAAAGTCAACCTGACTCTTGAAGGCCAGTTCTAGGCTTGGGTAATGTCTTGAAGGCCAATTCTGGATTTGGGCAGTGTCTGGCAGTTGTTAATTAAAAAAAAATTTAAAAAGTAGCTCCGGGTGCTATACTTTACCGCCTGTGATCTTCTAAGAGGGGCTGCGTGATTGGCTAGAATTGGAGCCAAAAGCAGAAGTCCTTA